CTTCATTAGGGTCTTTATCTTGGTGAAGGCCTTTTTACCAAATTTATTTATCATGGTTGCTTTAAGTTCTTCTATGTTCTCATCACAACCATCATACTCATCACTAGAAGGATCGGGTGAGTTATGTACGTTCTCCCCCTTAGCCATGAGGTAAGTTAGAGTGTAGTATTCATTGTCGATGAGGTTGGAGAAGAGCCTCGGTGATGAGTCTAGGTTGGGAAAGAGCTTTGGTGGTGAAGCCAAGTTAGGAAAGATCATGGTTGGTGATGAAGAGTGGTGGATAGCCATGTTTGCAGCTTCCTTCTTCTTCTTCTTCTCATCATCACTAGAGTCACTATCATTTGACTCCCATTCTTCACCAAGATGAGCTTCACCTCTTTTCTTGCCTTTGTTCTTCTTGTCTTCATCCTTGTTGTACTTGTTCTTCTTTTTGGGACAATTGACAATGATGTGACCGGGTTTACCACACCTATAGCAAAACCTCTTCTTGTACCTCTTCCTTCCATCACCATAAGTCATGCGGTTGCTCTTCTTCTTCATAAATTTTCAAAGATTCCTAATCACAAATGCAACCTCTGCATTAGAATCTTCTTCTTCACTTAAGGAATCATCCTTCACTTTCTTCTTCTTCTCTTGACTTGAACCTTGAACCTCATGTTGTTGAGTTGCTTTAAGGGCTACGCTCTTGTTGTATCCCATTGCATTAGGATTTTGATTTTGAGCATTGATTGCATGTTTATCTGGACACTCATGATGCTTGAGCTTTGAAAGGACTTCTTGGGGTGTCATCTCATCATAACTAGGCCTTTCCATGATCACGAACGCTAGCATCTTGTTCTTGGCTCTATAAGTTCTCAATATCTTCCTAGCAACCTTGTTGTCGTCCCATTCGGAGCTTCTAAGAGCTCTTATATGGTTGACCAATGCCATAAGCCTATCAAACATTGCTTGAGTTGTTTCATCTTGTAAGAACACAAATCTTTCCAATTCACCATGAAGTAGCTCAATGTTGCCTTTTCTCACGCTCTTGTCTCCTTCAAATGATATTCTCAAACCTTCCCAAATTTGCTTAGCACTTTCCATTCCATTCACTTTGTTGAACTCATCTGGACCCAAACTTGAGACAAGCAAGGACACGGCTTATGCATTTTGATGGAGGTTGAATGCTTCTTCTAGAGTCATCTCTCTATCTTCATCGGTAGGAATCATCACATCAACATCCACAACTTCTGAAAGTCTTGCGGCGATGAGGTGCATCTTCATCTCGTAAGCCCAATCGGTGTATCTTGTTCCATCAAAGTGTGGTGGCTTGCCAAGGTTGACGGAAGGAGAATGTAGAGGTGGACCATTGATGAGTTGTCCATAGTCGAAGCTCATGTTTGAATACATTCCCTTTCTATGAGCATGCTCGCCTGCTCCAACATCACTTGCGGTGTCTTTGGTTGCTTCATTCTTCCCACTTATAGCATCTTCAATTTTCTTGCTCAACTCTTCCTTCATCTTGCTCATCTCATCTTGCATCTTCTTCATTTCATCTTGGAAAACATGGTTTGTTGAGCCATCAACTCTTTTGCAATTTGCTCGGCCATCTCTTTGACATCGGCTCGCATCTTTTCGATGTCCGACATTGTTTCTTCTCACGCCATGAACCGCTAAAAGAAGACCTTGCTCTGATACAAATTGAAAGGATCTAACAATGCCTAGAGAGGGGTGAATAGGTGTATCTAAAAATTTACTACAAATGCTAAATTCAAATTTGTTAGCCACTGTCGGAAGTCCTGACAGTTTGGGTCAAAACTCCCGACGTCGTCAGAAGTTCTGGCACAAACTGCCAGAAGTCTCGACACCTACGAGAACTACAAAAGTAGTGCCAAATTTTACTTTACAGATAAATAATCTTACAACCCCACTTTCTAGTGGTTTGATGAAGATGTTGGGTCACTCCCTTGACGCCGAAATGCCTCCAAATCATAGATGGAGTCCAAACCCTAAAATGAAACTTGGGAGAGGGAGAGACAAACAAACACAAGTAATTTTGAGTAAATCACAAAAACAACAAGCACGCGGGACACAAGAATTTATCTCGAGGTTTGGCAACCCCACAATGGAGCTCCTACGTCCTTGTTGTTGAGGTGACCACAAAGGTCAGAGTCTCTTTCACCTCCTTGCCTCTCTCAAGGCAACCACAAAGGTCACTTGAGCTTTCCACTAAGAAATCAAGGGTAATACAAACTTCCCAAGGCTCTTCCACAAGATGGAATCTCTTGGGCGACGCATAGCCGGCTAGGGGCAAAGCCCCAAGAGTAATAGACACAAATCCAACCGGCTTGATGAAGAAATCAAGTGCTCAAGCTTGCCAAAGAGATTTTCTTACTCAATCCACTCTCCTATCACTCAAATCCTTGAATCATCCACATTTTACTACTCCGGTAGTCTGTCAGGTGTACTCGGGGAACCCTGAATCATCCACATTTTACGACTCATATAGGATAAACATGGAGTTACCACAACATTACAACAACTGGTAAAAATATCTTACATCAAAGTGCAGAAGACTTATAACATTAGTTTACAAAACATGTTCAAGTAAAACTTAACTTAAGTTTAAATGGTGAGTAGAATTGCAAAAGCAACCTAAGCGAAACATCTAAGGTAGAAGAAGCAGCCAGATCATGTCGAGCCCACCGACATAATCTCGATTAGCAGTACAAGTCAGAACCTACAACAGGGGTTAACAAACCCTGAGTACTTGAGGATACTCAATAAGTCTTACCCGACTAAAAGAAAAGAATCCAAGGGCATGCTGGTTTTAAGTAAAGATTGAAGCAAGAACTAACTTTTGTAGAAAAGCTTACTATGAATGGATCCTTACTTTCAATGTTTTAGCTAGGTATTAAGTCATTAGTAGTATCCAGTTTGCACCTCATCTAAATCAATCACTTCATTAGTCATCTCATCTCTTTTCATCTCATATCCACAAGTAACCATGTTCCATTGATTAACTACGATGTAGATCAGGGGATTGAGTCTCCATAGCCGAGGAGCACGACGATTCGAATTGATTTAGCCCAGCTAGGGTTTCCTTACCACACGACACATGTAGGTCTAGGACCGGTTCCGAACCTACATATATCAACCCTCACTTGGATCCTCCAAAACATGAACGGATCCATCTCTACCCGAGAGCATAGTACTCCACCTCCCTGTGCCACTCCTAGTGGATTCACATGATGTGTACACGCTACTCTCGCCATCTCTCCACTCCCGGTGCGTGGTTAGACATTCACATATTGGAATAGCCTAGGTATTAGGTTTACCAGAGTATGTGGCCAGTACTGCAAGGTCTCGAACACGACAGGTCTACAACGGTACGGTCCTCAAACTACATAGGCGGGACAAGCACGACCAGGTGAACCCGTCTACCCACACTTACCTTAACATTAATTCCCGTCCGGTCTCAATATAAACATTATTATCATCATGGTATTCCCACGACCCATAAACGAGGCTGAGAAGAACAAGGTAAAACCTATCTCCCGCGAATGATGAAACAATCACTCGACTTCTATCGAAGTCTAAGCATTACTGAGCATCAGGGGTATTGACCTATTCATACTAATAGGGTAGAATTAAGGATACCTGAATATCAAGGTAATCAAGGAGTAACGGTATTCGACCAACTCCTAATTACTTAATGCATATCTCACAAGACTTAAAGTGTAATAAATATTTATAAATACTAGAGAAGGGTTTATGCTCCAGGGCTTGCCTGCGTTGTAGAGAAGGTTAGCTTCCACAAAAGGTCCAATAGTTAGACTTGGCACTAACACCACTGATGGATGGACCTCCTCCGAAACATAATCAATACAGACCTTCTCACTCTCGTGCACTATACGTACCAGTGTTCGCCTACATGGCCGTGTAGGCCGATTACTCGCCGTGTACACGTTACTCAGCAGCTTTGCGTGCAGTTTAGGCCATAAACGATATGGTACACGGTCAGTCCATGTAAACGGTCAAAAACGGTCCTACACGGACTTCACGGGCAACACGGTTCGAAGCTGACATGGTTCTACGCGGCGAGTGAAGCGAGTAGGAGGACGTTTAGGCGATTGGAGACATTTTGGCTGCAGAACAAAAATTTTAGACCTCATCTCGCGCGCATCGGCCCAGTCAATTGTGACGACTATAAAAGCCAACCTATTTGGGTTTGGCCTTTCTATCCCCAAAGCATTTCACAGCCGCCGCAATTTCCAAATCCCCTACACTGCTGCACACACACCATCCGCCGCAGCTGCTGCGCCCGTCGCTCCTTCGGCCGCCGCCGCAGCTCCAGCGGCCGCCGCCATCGCCGCCGTGGCTGCCCCTGTTGCTGCATTCCAAGTCTTCCTCCACCCCATTCTCCATCCAGGTCGAGCTCCTCTCTGCCTCTGCTGACTACTCCAGGTTGAGCTCATCTGCATCTCCGGCACAAACAAGTTAAGTGCTCCATGTACTCTCTTTGATTTATGCTCCAGCATGTACATATTGTGCAGTGCGTACTATACTACTAGTACTAGAGCTCCATTCTCCTCTCCAAAAATCAATTGATATATCATATATGCTCCAGCATGTGTAGATGCAGACTAGTACTAATGTGCATTCTTTTTTTTAGAAATCAACTCATATATGATGTGCTCTAGCATGTGCGTACTAGTAGGCTGGTGTTGTTTTGTTCTCCAGAAATAAATACTGTGTGCTCTTGTAAAGAATATAGATTTTTGTTTAGAAAAAAGTTTAAAGAATAGAGAAAGGGATTGCGAGAATTGTTTTGTATGCTATAGTTCCAGATGCATTTGTTAAATTAAATCACTTAATTATGTTAGTTGTGGCCGTGTTATTATTTTATTACACACTTAGGCTATTAGATCTGGCATTTAGGTTCCTAATTCTGAAAGTTTGAAATACGAATATAGCAAGTACGCAGCTAGATGCTTCTTGTCACCTATTGTTCTGTGGCAATGGCTCTATTCTGTACTTTACATGAATGTTCTTGTGCCCTGTGCTGTACACCTATACTAATAATTTATAATTTGTGCTATGCTATTTTTAGGATGTCTTCAGCTGCATCTGTTCCTTCCATAAACCCCAGCAGTAGCCTCAAGAGAAACTCAGGTGACATTGGGTGGGACTATGGAGTCCTGGTGGACCCTAACAACCTAAATGTGATCAAGTGCAAGTTCTGTGATCTTGTTGTGAGGGCGGGGATATATAGGTTGAAGCAACATGTTGGTGGGATTCATGGTGAGGTTAGACCTTGCCTCAAGGCACCGCCTAAGGCCATAGACAAGTGCAAGAAAGTTGTTGATGACTCGAAACAAGCTAAGAAGGCAAGGCAGGAGGAGAAGCAAGATGACAGCGATGTTGTGATCCTTGATGATGGTCCAGATGTTGAAGAAACCACCATCAATGGAGAAGGGCTTGGTGATGTTGGAGACTCGACACAGTGCAAGTTGGGGCCTATGGATAAGTTTACATTGCCTATGGATTCTAGCTCATTGAGCAACACAAAACTGGTGAGGCAACAAAGAATCACTGAAGCATTATGGAAAGAGAGAATGCATGCCTTGAAGAGATATATTGCAAGATGGGTGTATGTATGTGCACGGTAATAAATTGGTCCATTGCTCCATTACTGAAATAAATGTTGTAAATTTCTGGAGTCCTAACCTTGCTGAATTATTTGTTTCTAATGTCTAACCTTGAATTCTTGTAAATTTTAGGAATACCTTTCCATGCCATCAACAATGAAGAGTTTGACCAATTGCTAGAAGCTGCTGGATGCTTTGGCCCTGGTGGACAGAAACCAAATCAGCATGAGCTGCGGGAGAAATTATTGTATGAGGAAGTGGAGGACACAAAGAAATTGCTGAAGCTACAAGAGCAAGAATGGGCCAAAAATGGGTGCTCCATTATGACTGATGCATGGATAGATCAGAAGAGGAGAAGCATAATGAATATGTGTGTCAATTGCAGCATTGGTACAACTTTTTTAGAATCAAAGGAGGCCTCAGCTGAGTCCCATACTGGAGAATTCATCTTTCAGTATGTGGACAGTTGTATTGAGAAAATAGGTGCTGAAAAGGTGGTGCAAGTAGTCACAGATAATGCCTCCAACAACATGGCAGCGAAAGCCCTGTTGTCTGTGAAGAGGCCCAATATATTCTGGAGCTCATGTGCAACATACTCTCAATTTGATGCTTGAAGGCATTGGGAAACTGAAAAGATTCAAGACCATCATTGATCAAGCAAAGGCACTGACCATCTTTATCTATGCACACCATAAAACATTGGCTTTGATGAGGAAATTCACAAAAAAGAGAGACATCATTAGGTCTGGTGTGACCAGATTTGCTTCCTCTTTTCTCACCTTACAAAGCTTGCATGAGAAGAAGAATGAGCTAAGGGCAATGCCTCAAAGTGAGGAATGGGAGAGAATCAGTCATGTTAAGAAGACCCCAAAAGGTGTGCAGGCCACAGCCACTTTGGTGAAACCTAATTTTTGGGCTGGTGTTGCTCTTTGTTTGAGAGTATTTGAGCCATTGGTCAAAGTACTTCACATGGTTGATGGGGATGTGAAGCCATCAATGGCTTTTCTTTATGGAGACATTCTTAAGGCTAAGAAAGAGATCATGGTGGGCTTAGGGAATATTGACAAGGCTGGGACTCTCAATCTATACAACAATATCATAGAAATCATTGATGAGAAGATGAAGGGAAGGTTGGATAGTCCTTTGCACTTAGCTGCATACTTCTTGAATCCCTATTATAGCTACAATGATTCTTCCATCTTTGGAGAAGAGGAAGTCATGGATGGGTTCTTTACAGCTGTTGAAACTTTTTATCATGGTGATTATGACAAGCAAAATCAAGTCCTCAATGAAGATCTGCATAAGTTCAAATATCAAACCGGTCACTTTGCAAAACCTGCAGCAATGGCTGGCTATAAGGATTATAATTTCTTCCCAGGTATGCAAGTTTGTAGTTTATTTTAGATCTAAAATGTTGTATCTAAATTTCTGGTTGCATGTTTAACACTGTAACATTTATACTTGATTACTTATGCAGCCAAGTGGTGGGGAAATTATGGAACACAAGTTCTAACTCTACAAAAGATGGCTATAAGGATTCTCTCTTTGACTTCAAGTTCCTCGAACTGTGAAAGAAATTGGAGCTGCTTTGATGGGGTAATTCACTAAGTCTCCAAATCTTAATTAGTTGTGAACTACGATAATTTTTGTTCTATCCAACAATTTAATACTTAAGTGCACTTGTGAATCTGAAATTTGTAGGTTCATACCAAGAAGAGAAACAGGCTCACTTGTGAGAGAGTTGAGCAACTTGTCTACATTCGCTTCAATAACCTTCATTCAAAGAAAAAGGCTAAGGCAAAAAAGAACAACAAAGTAGATCCTCTAGTAGCAGCAAATGCAACTTGTGCCCAAGGGTGGATGGTTGATGGTGGAGATGATGACAACTCTAATGTTGATGTTGTTACAGGGCTAACATGGCAGCAAATTGTAGATACATGTGGGCCTAAGGAGGTAACAAAACTGCGTAGGAGCGCAAGGTTGGCTCAGCCGAGACAGATTGAAGAGGATGTCCAATCTGAACCTGAAGAGCTGCCAAATGAGGAAGAAATCGAGTTTGAGTCTGATCAAGAAGAAGTGGTCACAACTGGTTATGAGTAAGATCATGACACCACAAATGATGATTGAGCTTGACGCCTTAGGCCTTTTCATGAACTATTCTATCACTTAGTTAATTTATCTTTACCAGACATTCCTAAGAACTTTTAGATGTTGATGTATGATTGTGAGAACTATGTGTTTATATGTGTGTGTGTGTGTGTGCGACTATGTGTCTATGATGCTATGCATGTGAGAACTGAGAACTATGTGTGAGTGTGATTGTGCCATTCTGTCATTCACTCATTTGTCATATCTGAGAACTGTGAACTGTGTTGTTAACCTGTCATGTTTGGGAGTGTGCTATTAACCTATCATTCACTCATTTGTATTCTTTATTACGTTGTAGGAGTAGGAATATATCGATTTATGATTATTTACATGTCAAAATAGTTATTTTTACAAATATAATATGAAAACGTGTAATCTGTGTAAAACCGTGTACACGTCGTGTATATAGTCTAAACGCTACACGAGGCCTTGCCGACCGTGTACCGTTTAGGAAAACATTGATACGTAGTAAATGATGCTTTGCTTAACATGATGGAATGCATGACATGATGCATGATGAGAGATGCATAAGTGCATGACAGAAGTTAAACAAAGTTAAGAAAGTTGAGTACAACTTTTCTTCACCCAGGAACTAGGGTTTGTTTATTATAAAAGCATTGTAGTTAACTATCAAGTTAATTAGTTGTTTATCACGAAAGGCATTACTTAACATGGACCAGCAAGAGATTAACATATAAAGCATCTACAAAGCATAACCACTTACTCAACTATTGTATATAAGGAGCAATCAAGGCTTAGATTCATGCATCTACTAATTCATCATTTAATTAAACCATTTTAATAATTATATAAAAAAGTTGATTCAAAGCGTATCAAGCAACTAATTACATTGCCAAGGAACAATAGGGGTTTGAGTGTCCCAAGGTCCACAAACAATGTTCAAATACACCAAAGTTATTTAAGTATTTTCCTAAATCATTTTAGCATTTATTAATTAAAGAAAAGGCATTTAAAAAAACACAAATTAATTAACCAAGTTAAATATGTCAAAACAGTACCAAACTTTTTGTGGAGGTAGATATTAGCACATAACATATACAAAAAAAGTTTCATGATTAAAGGATTAATATTTTTATCTATAAAAATCATGCAAGGAGCATTTTTCGATTAAGAGAGATAATTTTTAAGAGTACCAAAACTAGTGAAAATGACCAATTATTATTTTTTCATGGTAGATCATAACACAACAAGGCTACACAACAAATTTCAAATTTTTATCAGGTTCCTACATTTAGTTATGAATTAAACAAGAATCAGCACTTTTAATATTTTCTGAAAAACAAAAACCAGATGGAAAACATTTCTTACTCTGCCCTCCCCTACCCCGAGCCATTGACAGCAGGGCCCGATCAACAGTGCGGCGCGGCCGCGTTGACCACGGCGCCCGACCGGCAGACCGGCGGGTTCTCGCCGGCGACGAGAAACACCGTGGCGGACTCCTACCTCTCCCGCGCACCCCCCCTGGGGCACTGGACGAGCACCTAGAGCACCGCAGCAGGAACGGTGGCGGCAACGGCGGTCCGGCGGCGCTCCAGCGCGGCGAAACTTGCCAACGGCAAGGTCTCCGACGATAGGAACGGCTCCAACGGCTTCCTCTCAACCCCACGCAGTCGTCTATGGTACCGGTTGTTCGTCTGGGACTTCGCAGCAAGCTCGCCTCCGACCATGGCGGCACGGCGGCGCGGTTCATGGCGACGCGGCGATCGACCGGCGGCTACGACCCCTAATTGGCCCAGCCATGACACGGAACCGCTCCACGGTGGTCACCTCGACCTAGTAGGCTAGATGGTTGAAACGGAGGCGGTCCTGACACGACTACCGGCGTCGGGAGCGTTGGTGGCGGCGCGAACCGGCGTCGCGACGGCATTCTGGAGCGACCTGTGCGGTAGAGACTAAAACAAGAAGCCTATGAGCATCACTGGTTTGCAAGGAAGCTAGAACATCAATCGAGGCGGCGATAGATGCTCTGGTTAAGCCTGGCCACGGCGAGGTGATGCGCGACAGCCATGGCGGGTCGCCGCGGCAGCAAACGACAACGAGAGCGATTTCGGCGGAGCGGGCTAGCGCGAGCAAGCTCAGGTGATGCGAAGCTGTGGGTGCGAGCAATTGGGCGGTGGTGGTGCGGTGGCGACGAATTGCACCGGTGAGCGAGAGGGGCTTGGCGACGGTGGGAAAGGAAAAGAGGAGGAGATGGCGTCCGGCTCGAGTTCTTTATCGACGCGGAGGGCGTGCGGTGAAGTATCGAGACGTGCCAGCAGCTGCTCGGCCTGGACGCGCAAGCAGCTGCGCGTCAACGCGTGATGAGGCAGCGAAAACGGGGACGGCGGCCATCGGTGGCAAGCTGCTGCGTGGCAGCTGTTTCCGACCTAATCTTCATGCCTGACAGCCTATCTTCGTCCTTCATTTTCTCCCAAAAACATGTTGAAACTTGATTATTGGCCTTAAGAAATATTGTTAACTGATCTGAGATCTCCAATATTGGTTAAAGGACCAAACTCACCAAGTCTCTAGTTTTGAATATTTTTATTGGTGAAAGCATGAACTTTAAAACTAACAACTGGATTCAGTTTTAGGTTTTCTGAAACAGTTTTGGTTAAGCAACTTTGGGTAAATAATTAAGGACTAAACACCTACCAAACTTATCAGCCAATTACACAGAATCAAAGCCTAAACACAGCACCAAGCAATGGAACAAAGTTTGGACAAATTTTATTTATGAAAATTCAATTAAAAATTCACCAAAATTTGAACTTAATAGCTGTTTTTCAGGGACTTAGGATTTTCTAAGTATGAAATCCAGTATTGAATTTAATCTTTGGGCTCAATTTTCAACCTATTTGCTTTAGAAACATTATCGAGCTTTGATTTCATAAGAAAGCACACACTTAACACTACAAAGTTTATTTTAACAAAATTTTACTTGTTTAAGCAAATTTACATATATAAATTAACAAAGTTTCTTAAGCACTAACATTGACATCATTTCATGCAACATGTGAATCATATTATAAGCAACATATGAAACACTACAATGTAACATATGAAACATCACATATGCAACATGGACATACTATTATTGAAACATAAAATGCATTAATGAAACAATACTTGATGATTATGCTTCATGATCCTCATGATCAAGTTTTAGCTGCTTTTTAACATCTAGGACGTTATCGGAGAGGGCTATTTATACTCATAGTAGAAATCTAACCGTTCAGATCTACGTCGGAAGTTCCGACGCAGACCACGGGACTTCCGACCTCTATAGAAAATACTGTTCATAGCTAGGTCAATGTCATTACGAGCAGGTCAACGTCGAAACTCCCAGCGTACGTCGGGACTTTCGATGGTCGGGACACTCGACGTACGTCGGGACTTCCAAAGAGTGCGGTCAGCAGGCCAGCCAAGTGTCCAGGTGTCGAGACTCCCGACCTAAGTCGGGACTTCCGACTGTCAAGAGTTCCGACTCATGTTAGGACTTTCAACGGCCACAGTCACCGCGCAGGCTAAGTAACTAGGCGTCAGGACTTCCGATGCCAAAAGTCTCCGAAAAATATTCTACATGCTTGTGAAGTGCTAGAGTATCACTCTTTTGATTTTATGTTTATACTTGAGCACTCTATCTTTCTCAAACCACCTAAACTTGCATCCCTCTTTATAGTATGGCGAACTTAAACTCAAAAAGACAAATGTAAACTTTGAAGATCCGCTTTGAGTTCGTCCACCTTTTATACTTCAAGAATTGAGGGATATCATTTTATCTTAGATCAACTCTTTAAAACTTTTAAGGGACTAAAGCTGCAATGTGTCTCATTAAGATCTCATTAGTCCATATTTGGATGTCATCAATATACCAAAACCCATATAAGGGGCAAATGCACTTTCACGCCAGCATCTGAGTTGTCTATTCTTGAGATATTTTTGACTGTGAAGCCTTCAAAATATTTCTCTAGTTCTCTAAAAAATTGCAAGTATTTTGCCAACTCAGGATCTCTTGCCTTGTAATCTTTTCAATGTGTCCAGCTATGACTTGTGAATCTATTTTGATTATTAGCCTTTGGATCCCCATTGCTCTTGCTTTTCAGAGTCTGAACAAAACGGCTTCGTATTCATCAATATTGTTGGTACATTGAAATTCAAGTCTTGCAGCGTATCTCATTTTGATCCCTAAAGGTGATGTGATTATTATTGTTGCGCCAGCCCCTGCGAAGCCCCATGCTCCATCACAATATATAATCAGTCTGGTTGCTTTTTTTCTTTGCTTGGATTTTGAGATGAAGTCCAATCTGCTACGAAGTCTGCCAAGGCTTGAGATTTTATTGATGTTCTTTTTTCAAATTCAATGAAGTGCTGAGATAGTTCTGCTGCCTATTTTCCCAATCTTCTAGATGATCTACAGCTTTCTAAAACTTCTTTCAGAGGATGATTTGTTGGTACCCTGATTTTGTGGGCTTGAAAATAGTGTTTCAATTTTCTTGCTGCTGTTAGAACTACATAGGCTATTTTGTCAATCTCCGAGTAGTAGATTTTTGAGCCAAACAGAGCTTCTAAGACAAAGTAGACTGGTACTTGCCTCTTTGAGTGTTCATTTTCTTGTTCTTCAATTAGGACTGTGCTTACTGCACTTTCTGTTGCTGAAACATATAGGAGTAATTCAGCCCCTTGGGTTGGTGTGGCTAATGTATGGCTTTGACAAGTATCTTTTTATTTCTTCGAATGCATGTTGCTACGAAGGTCCCCATGTGAAGTTGCTTTTTGTTCCTTTGAGTGCTTGGAATATTGGTAGGCTTCGTTCTGCTGATTTTGACATAAATCTATTTAGAGCAACAAGTCTTCCTGTTAACTTTTGGACATTCTTTATATTTTTAGGAACTTTCATGTTTAAGATTGCTTGAACTTTGTTTGGGTTTCGATCGATTCCTTTTGTTGAT